TCTCTCTCTCTCTCTCTCTCTCTCTCTCTCTCTCTCTCTCTCTCTCTCTCTCTCTCTCTGTCTTTCTCCCTCACGGGATTAGTCGCATTGCTGTGTTCCCGTTGCCGAGCAGTTTGAGAGCTACACGGAGAATACCGGAGTTGCACCGGTGTAGTTTCATGAAGCAACCGACGTACCCGAAATCAGAGAGCTGGCACGTTGGTTTTGGTACACGCACTAACTAAAACGGAACAGCAATAATCCCGAAACACTTCTTAACTCTCGAATGACGACGAATGGCGTAATAATTGCGCGCACGCCGGGAGCACTAGAGACAAGTACGTTCTTCTACGTTAAATCAACACACAAAACGGATGTAAATGTTGTTAGACGCGAAAAAGATAAACAAGCGCTTATGCGCGCTACATGTTGACCCACGCCACGGTTTCATATTTTTTTATGCAAAGGAAAAGAAGGCTCTCTAGGAAATAAACTAATCAACGCGATCGACGAGAGTCACCGTGCATTTTTTTTGCCCGCGCTTGACAAGCTATTTTCATTCTTAATAATATAACACACATTTTAGTCCAACTTGGCAAGACTTGTAGCGCTCTTTCGAATCAAGAGGAATATATTTGCTCGAAGCAGAACGCTGTCTCGTTAAAAGACATTTATCTCAAAAGCAAGACTGGTACTGCAAAGAAAAGAGCAAATTCCCCCAACTTTGAGAACGTTGCGCTTTGAATATTTTCCTCTTGGTCTCAGGAAGAATCCTCTTTAGGTCGTATATAAGAGGATTCTCTTAGAGTGAGATTATATTTCTTTCTCTTGGTGATTGGAAACCCCGCGGCGCAGCCCTCCCGATCGACCCCGTCACCCACGGGCGGTGTGGTTGCGGCAATCAGAGTGACAATCCCGCGAGCAGCAACACGCCGCGACGCAATCGTACGCGCCCCCGTGTAAACCCTTTCCCAGCGCGGCCGAGGAACGGCAACGACGAGTTCGTGTTGCCGGCAGTAAACGTCGTGTAGCTCGGAGCGAGCGCGTAAGATAGGCGAAATAAAATCTCTCTAACGAACGGTTCCGCCGTGGCGGTTGCCATTAGCGTGCTACCGGGTGGCCACGGGTGGTCGCTACGTACCTGCCACACTGCCGCACGGCCCGGCCGTCGTTAATACACCTGAATTCCAGCTTAATGGCGTAGCCGAGGCTTATACACCGCTGCGGAGCGCCGAGGCTGAGGCCGAGGACGTTGCTGTTCGCATACGATCGCGAGATCGTATCTCTCGAGCGCGAGAACGACGCGTTTTGCAGCGTGCGATCGGTTCGTTCCGCCCTCGCCGAGTGATCGCGCGCGAATCGACGCGACAATACAACCGGTAAATTCGAGAGTATTAACGGAACGCCAAAGGCATGCTGAATCCGATCGAGCCGAGTCCCGACGTCTCGATGTCGGACTGATGGCCCGGACAAACGCGAACCAAAACGTTTCTTCTTTGTGCACTAAGCTTCAATAGCGCCGTGACATTCGCCAGTCTGAGGCTCACCGATCTTTCTAATCGTCCCCGTCGTGTCTGGATATAATATGATATCATATGAAACGATATGTCAAACTGTCGAAATGACAGATTGAACGAATGATCAACAGATATGATATACGTGCTTACACTCGAGAGAAGAAATATCTAAAAAGCAGTGTCGGGCATTAATCGATTAAAATGTTGAATGACTAAAATAATTGGCAAATTATCAAGATCAATTCACTATCATATGCAAAATGACGAATAATTTAATCGACTGATGAATTTGACTGTTATTTAGGCTTGGATTTGATTGATTTCGGTGAAGCAAAATTTTTTAGTCAATTAATGCCCAATATTGCTAAACAAACAAGTATTTATATTCGATAGGTACTAATAACGCATTCATTTGTATCAATACACATGTTTTTACATCGAGAAGGCGATTTTTAACGGAACGTTTTAAAAGAGACAATTGTTACGAAAGATAATATCTTGCAAATAAGATATCTTTTATTCCGCGAAAACCGATTTAACAGATAGCTGTGACTTGGGAGTCGCTACTGCGTTCACAATTATTTTTGAGAAGCGTGTACTGCGTAAAAATGCACACGGGGATTTGGAGTGACAGGCCCCGACGGAGAGGAGCAGCGCGACAGCGTGTATAAAATCGGCCGTGATTTCGTATGCGTGATCTGCATATATATTAGAAACTACCTGCGGCCGGGCGGGGGGTGTAACTCACAAGGAAGGCGAAACAGAGAACGAAAAGAGGGAAGAAAGGTGCGAAGTTTCTCTTATTTCTTCTCCCGGACGGACAACGGTCGCGGAGTGCGCGTGGTCCCTCGCGATTTGTTTTACACGGCAAAGAAATGGTCGTGCATGAATATGCAGACACGCGCGCCGAGCTTCGCGACTTGCGCGAAGTGAAGTAGTGGAATGCCCGTCCTTAAAAAAAAAAAAAGAAAAAAGCGAATAATTACGACATCGTAAATAAGCAAGCGCGAGGATGAATTCATTAAACAGAACCGTTCAAAACGCGGAAGCGCGTTCGCGTATTTTTACAAGCGCAACGTTCCACTTTGAAGAAGTAATAATTGATTGAGAGAAAACGCGAGACGATTACATTTCATTTGTGAGTAAATCGCGCGCGCGCGCGCGCGTTGCTTTAAAAGCCTTTTAATCCGTTCATCAGTGCCGGCTCGTAAAATCGGGATGGCGTCTTTAATTAAATGTAATGCCGCGAGAGTATCATCGCGACCCGGAGGTACCGGCAGTCGGTCAAAGAAACAATTAAACGCGTTCTCCTTCCCAATCGCGGTCGTTAGCCGGGGCGATTTCGGCGCCCAATGAATCCGGTGATAAATCGTTCGCCGTATCGATCGGCGCGGCGGCGGATCGGCGTGGTCGGATATATGATTTCTATTAAGAGTAGCGCCACAACGCTCGCGTGTCATTAATAATACATCCGAATGTCGATAGATACTAATGACTCCTCTCAATGGATCTGAAGGATTTAAACGATTGTTCGAAAATACTTCGCCACGCAATAAATCACAACCCTCTGCCGGGAGTGCCGGGATTAAGCGATTTGTTTGTGGGAGTTACGCGGGAGAGAGATATTTCAAGGGCGGCGAAGTGGCGATGTACAACTACCGATCAACAATGCGTCTGTATAAGAACGCAGGCAAATTGTACCAGCGCCCACAACTGTTGGTTAAATAACACGCCGACAATCGTGAGATCGCGATCTGACCTGGATAATCAAATATATGTATTCTCATATTTATATTTTACATGTCTAAAAGATGTGTTTTCTTATAGTTTTCTTTTTGTTCTTTCTACAGTTGATATACAAGCATTACATCTCAAGTCAATAAATTTCATTTTCTTAAAACCTTAACTTTTCACGAAAGCAATTGTTGATTCTATTTAAATAAAAGAATTTAAAGATTTAAATAAATACATATTTATTCTCTTTTCGTATACTGTTGACTGGCCAATAAATTAACGTTATTATCATTATTATTATTATTATTGTGTATCATTAGTACCTAAATATTTTTTATTTTTCAGACATTTTTTCTCTCAGTGTATTCTTTTCTCATTAA